TATTATAACTTATGTACGCGTCCACTTGAATACCATAACTTTTTTCCGATCACTTGAGTGCAATATCTTTTCAATCAGTCACTTGAGTGTCATAACTTTTTAAAAATGTTCACCACAAGTGTTATGCCATGTCGGATTTTAGGCATTTGGGTAAAGGTTTTTAACAATTTTTAGCACTTAAATGATCGATTGAAAGTTATGGTACCTAAGTGAACGTTTTTTTAAGTTATGACACTTAAGTAGTTAAAAAAAAGTTATGGCATTTAAATAAGTATTATACGAAAATTATAACACTTATAGCATTCTTATTATTTTAATATATAAAATATGTCATTGTTTATTGTCGCGGATAAGACCTGGCACCCGCTTGTTCCATCCAACTGGCGCCCCCACCACAATAGAGGGCCACCATGGAATGTCAGTGTCTTATCAGCGACCCTTCCCAAAGTTTTTGATGAGGTCGGGAAAAGGAAAGAGATTTAGAGGTAATGCCCAAAAGGCGGGCCTACAGCCCTCAATTAGGCGCAATCTCTCCTATATCTTGGGCGACGTTGAATTTCATTTTAAGTTTTGATTTTGCCTAAAAGATTCTACATGAGATGGGAGTTGCCACTAGCCTTTCAGTGTCGGCTAGAACCAAGCAAGACACGAGAGTTTGTCTCGCTTTCACGCAACCAGAGATTATCTATACTTGATTATGCTAATAATCTAATTAGTGCCCTTTCGGTGCCTCTAAATTGTGCGATCTTCGTTACCAATTATGAACCCTAAATGTTATGTTTCTAGGCGTTCATGCAATGTTCTTTAAGGGTTTATTATGATACCAGGCTTTTCCTAACCATTTTAGAAAGGAAAAGAATAAACAATGTATTTAAATTGCGGGAATTAAATACCCAATTATTGAAAGCTCAAAGTAAAAGTGCAGAATTGAAAACCTAATACTTGTCGGGCAAAAAATATTGCATCGCCTTGTTCTAAGCCCTGGGACATGATCCCACGAGCTTGACTTGATACCAAGTCGGGCAAAAATAGTACATCGCCTTATTATAAGCCTTGGGACATGAACCCAATAAGCTTGATGCTGGAGACTAATCTTAATAGTAGATTAAGACAAGTATAAATTCTACTCATTTTATTAAAGATGACGATGCTAGTCTAGACTAAGCTATCCATTTATTAAGAGAAGGATGCTAAGTCTGATTTGATTTTTTAATTTTCTAGCTAAACTATATCAATTAAAGTCAAAACTATTTGATTATTAATTTCTATGTTCTGGACTAGCCTAATTGATTCTAATCTAAGCTAATGAACCTAAATCTAATCATTGCCTTGGACCGCCTCCTTGAGCTCTCGGCTGCGGACCGCCAGTCTTTGATGATCAATCCCATCATCCAATCATGCAATCACTCAGCTCAAGCAATTCGCAAGCTCAACCAATCAACTATCAATCATCAATCAAGAATTCCGGGTTTGGTTCGTTGATCTGATATTGATCATATGATTTGATTACCCATCCACCTTATAAAATTAAGGGTTGATTAATTAATGCTAAGTTATTATTCACCCCCACTTGAATGTTCATCAAGTAGTAGGCTAAGACACTAAGCAGCTAAAGGATCATGCATTGCTAATCAAAATTAAGAGTAACTAATCATCATTCCAATCACAAGCAAGGTCAATTAAGTATGCAATTAGGCTAATTAGCCTTACAAATCACGAAATTGGTCAACTTCTCTGTTTTTCCCTTTATTTTGACCAATTAAGGCTTCATCCAATTGACAGCCCTAACGAGCTCTAATTTGAGTAATTCAAATTGCTAATGAAAGCTTAGGATATTTACTTCAACTTTCATTTAGGTCACTTCCTTAATTATGGCCCAATTAATACAGTAAATTCAATTGAACTCGGCCACTTGGGATTAAACCCTACTCTGACCCGGTTTTTCAAAAATAGGAGAAAAATATTAAACAAGCCCCAAATGGAAGTCAAATTTTACAAACAACTAGCTTAAGATGCTTTTTACAACTTTCGATTATTAAATTTTGCAAACAAGCCCTTCATCTATGAGTAATTATGTAAATTATCCTAAGGACTCGATCTGAAACAGTTTTGAAGCCCGTTCTCATTTTGACCTTGTTGATTTAAATTAGCCGTCACGTAGGACGATTAACATCTATGTCAGTGATTTCCTGTAAACACTGGCCGATGGATTAAATTGACACAAATGCAAAAGGTTTAAGACTCAACTGGCCCAAAAAAAAAAGATTTAGAACTGAATTGACACAATTATAATAGATTTATGACTTTATTGGTAATTTCCCGTTTGCTCCCCTCACATCCCTCATCCCACCCTTCGGGCTTCCCTCCTTCACTTTGCAAACTCCTCCACCATCGTTGACTGTGGCGATGGGGTCCAGAGGAGGATGAACCAATGTCCTCTGCCCCAATGCTTGCATTTTGATGTGGCTGGTCTCATGCGACGATGATTCCATCTACTGCAGTTGCTTATTATGCATAATACAAGGACCGACAGTACTAGTTCTAGCAGAGTCGCGATAATGGCAAAAACGATGACGTTTTGGCAGTGATTGTAGCGTTGAATAGAGGATGATTTTAGTTTGGTTCTAAAGAGATTAACAGTCAAATCAAGAAAATTTTACGAGTTTCGGTTTATTTAAAAGAAAACGAGTCAACAGATTATTTAGACTAAAATGCAGAAGCATGATTTCTTCCTTTGAAAAAGAACATTTTTTTCATAGTATAACTTGACCTCCATCATTGTAAGATAGTCCTAGGTGCGGGTGATGAACTTGGGGACTCTGGCTCTCATGCTCGGGTCCCAGTGACCTGAGCCCAAGATCCCCAATGCCCAAACCCAGGACCCGACGACCTAGACCCGTGACGTGAGGACATAGACCCATGACCCCGGCGCCTAGACACGGGTTCCCAATGCCTGGACTTAGGTCCTCACGGCACAGCATTGAGTCCTCACGGTCCAGACCAAGTAGGTATGACTTCTATCTTATTTGCAAAGAGCAATAATATACATGAATGTACCATTAGCAATAAACTTTCTTATTCAATGACCACATTAGCAATAAATGTACCATTAATAACACGACACCTGTTCTCCGGTTTCCACCTCAGCTTTTCGACTGCCAAGTCTACACTCCGGAGGCCAAATATAACTTAAGGATTTAATGGTGACAATTTTTTAAAAATACATCGACCATTATGAAAATTTATTTTCGAGATCAAGATCAAGATCAACATAGCTTACGGCCCCAGCTCCATCTCGTTCCCACAGCCATCCCCTCCCTCCTCGCGATTGACCGCATCTTAATCCGCCCCAACAGACAAAATCTTCCTAGCATCAAGTTGTCATTGGTCATCAATTAAGTTGTTGCCCAAACTCGCCCATGACAGAAAGTTTTGTCCAAATTTCTTGAGCCGACCCAGGCATTTAACTAAGTAGCCTTATCCAGACCCGTCCAAAAATGCCTTTCAGGACTATTTGGCTCAGACATGTCTAAGCAGAAAGTTGGATCGTCGAGTTGGTCCATTGTTTCAAGCGTTCCCTTTTCTTTAGCTAGAGATTCCCTCAAGGCCCTTCCTCTGCCTGAGCTCCTCTTCAAGTGCTTCAACCTGCAAATAGGCAACGATGCTGGCATATTCCCATATAATTATAACGAGACATTATGTCCCAAATTTAAGGTCAACCCATCAGGTGCAGGTTGTAGCTAAGTACTTCACAAGGTCCATAATCATCAAAGATGGACTGAGCAACTTCCACCGATCGGAGTCCGCTCAAGCTTTAGAAACACCAACAGTTCTGCGTCATCTACAAGCTGAGATAAAAGTAAATTAGCAAAAAGAGCAGACTCTTACCCATCGAGTAATATAAAGGGGTCAATTCTTCCAGTTTAGGATTCTCTAGAATTCACTAATGCAAATGCAAGACAATGTAAAACATTCACAACAAGAACATTAATCTGCCCATTTTTCCAGCCTTTTGATACTGTGTCCAATGTTCATATGCCTTGGTTTGCAGTTGCAGCCTCTGCCATTGCTCTGTTAAGTTGTTCATCAAGTTCATCGTTTTCTTCCGTCCAGTCAGGAAATTTGGGTATTCAGGAAGGACTCTAATCACAGTGTTCAGTTGTATATAAGACCATCCAGTTCACCAAAGTGAAACATACACTTGAATCACTATGCCCAACATATTACATGCATAATAATACTAATTTTTCTATTAAAAAAATTGATTAACTTATCTTACTGTTTCATAAAAAAGGGGGTTGGGGTTCACAAGGAAGTTCATAGGAAGGCATCGAGCTTTATTCCTATCTATGATGGATCCTCTTGCCTCACTAGAAAACGAGGGTATATCGTCTTCAACTTCACTAGAGCTGGATCTTGAAGGAGCTGAACCTATAGATATAGAAGGACTTCTGAAGTTTTGGGATCCAGACTCCGCAGCAGAATTGCTGATGCTGATGATAGTTAGGTCATCCATATCAAGGTGTCTAAACCTCCTTCCCTATACAGTTTTAGCGATCTACATCAGCTAACATTGTAATTATGTTCAACGCATGAGAAATCATAGCAGAAACTCAAGCAGCAATCCCCATTGTGAGCCTAAGCAAAGCAAGCGTCAACTAAACCATGGTGGTGATTTCAGACACTGAGTGAACTTAAACAAATACCCTGGAAATCAATCAGACATAGGCGTAAGAAAAAGAAACGCATGGACTGACATCAGCATATGAAGATGGGCAATAATAAAACTCAATTTCTGATGCCATGTCGCAAAATTAGCCCAATAATTCAAGAAAAAGGGGTGACAAGTAAGAGGTTTCAATGCACCCACTGAAATCTAATTCTTCCATTTATATAGTTATTTGAAGCAGTTTTTCTGAAGGAATGGCCACTTTCTCAAGAGACTCTAGCCCAAGAAAAGAATCACTAAGAGCAACTAATTTAGGTTCTAACTAAGTAGCTTTCCCATGCTGTTCTTGTTACATCTTTCATGTTTCAATAACTTAATTTGTAGTTCTCTACATGTTCCTCAAAATTCATGAATGTTCTTACAGCTAAATAAGGTGAAAGTTTACATATCTATGTCTAAGGAATTTGTCATGGTCACTTCTTTGCTAACACTGACTTGAAGCCTTACCACAGTCCCCACCCTTTAAAAGTACCAAGAATGAGTACGTAAAAAGAAAACTTGCTTTGTGATAATCTTCATGTTCATGCTTCTTAAAAATCCTACATTGAGCAATACATCAAGTAATAGGCTACACCTTGTGAAGTAGTGGTTGTGTTTCCTGACCCAATTAGTTGTCCCTTGCAGATAAACCATACATAAAAACATGGATCCAGGTGCTGATTGACAAGTATTGCTTTTGTGCATTTGAGTTGCATCATCCCACTGCACTGCCAAAGGCACATCAGCGAATAAACATTTTCAGGATAAAATTATAATGTCGGATCCAACTTTCTAGCTGACTTATGAAGGTGTCAATTCTAGCCAAGCAAAATAACAGCACAACTGAACTAGTCCTTAACCATGGCCAAAGAACTAATCGTTATCCAAAATGACCAAAACTTTATCATGAATACTCTCTGCAATTGCAGTACAAAAGTGAGAGGAACCAACAACCAGGCACAACCATTTATTCAGTTAATCATACATTCATGACAAAAAATCCCCGCACATCTCTTCCACAAAAATATTGTACTATGGGGGGCTAAAGAAAATTCTTTTGCCATATACTTACGATTCATCATATGCTAAATATTTGAGCAGTGTCACTAAGCTAAGACAAGGACTCAAAGCAGCCTATCGACTTCAGAGGTCTTGCATTCGTCAACAAAAATGCCTCCAGGTCTATACTACTACATATATAAGCTCAAGTCACGATTAATCCGTACATAAAATAGCATTCATCTGCTGCTGTTCCAATGATAAATTTCTCAAGAGCATGCTTCTACTATCCCATTCTCTATATCTAGCATCTCCATAGATCTTTTCTTTGAAGGAACCTACCAGCAAAAAAGAAAAAATTAATGAATGCACACACAATTTAGATTTAGGACTAGTTACTTCATTGTAGTAATCCTAGCAACCTGTTATCAGACAAACTGAATAGCAATGATGTGGAAAGTGGACTCTGGCACATGAAAATGATATGCTGTTGAATCTTCCCAAAGATAGATGCTCATCAGGTTATATTAGCATATAGTTTTCTGGGTTTTTGTGCAGGATGCATTTATCAAATTAAAAACCTCAAAGATGGAACTTGACACAGACCTAACCCTGGATGATTTCCACCGCCCCTTGAATTTGGTGATCGCACTCTCTTAATTCAGAAGAAACTGGCAGTTGTTTTAGTTCTGGGCACTTAAGTCAGAAAACGATCTGGTCCAAAGAAGATATGCACTCCTCTCGAAACATGAAATATCCATCTACAATGTTGAAAGATCTTAAACTTCATAGTTCGTCATAGTCTTCTCTACTTTATCACAAGGAATAAAGAAAAGAATCTCACACAAACAACAGAATTTTACAAGCAACATATTCATTATATACCTAATGCAGAGGAAGACATAAAATTCAGGAAAATATGAACCTCTGCTTTGTTACAAATGAAATGTGCCCATCCAGGGATCTTGTTCAACTTCGCATTCAGCTGCGCAAGTTCTTCAGGAGTCTTCACACCGTAACAATACAATTGATTCACCCGAAATTTCAGCAAGTTGGGGAAATTGCTGTTGCAATCACAGAGCAGAGAACTTTAAACTAATGCTAACTTGTACGAAAAGGAATACTAGCAAAGCCGCATACTTTGAAAATCATGTTCCATCCACAGTTAATCAGTCATCAGTCCTCACGCAATCGTTTTATCAATGCACCACATTAGAGACCATGGCACTATGAGGTAAACTAGAAATTAAAAAGCAAGCACACGCCCACCCATACCAGTGGAACATAAGATTTTCCTTTCTGTGAGATATTTTCACATGAAAAATTACATGGCCACCAACAGTTTGATGGAGTCAAATAGATAATATAAACTACTCAGGAATAATTCATTGGACAGGTTAACAGAGGAGAATACTACTCATAAGAATATCATTTTCGAGATCACCTCACTGGTTAGAGGCACCAATAAGAGAAACAGTGGTGAGATCCGTAGAACCACAAATTACCTTATCTATTGAACTGTGCTACACATGTTTGTGTGATTCCATGGAATGAATATGCACAATCTCGATTGACACATAGAGGAAGAATCTAGCATGTCAGCTAACAATCCTAATGAGACTAACAAACCATTCTCTCAACAATCATCAATGATAAAGCAGATCCTTATGCCTTTTGAAAATCATAAGGCAGATTTGTGTCATAATTCTACGAAGCTAAGTATCAAAATTTACAGCGTGTCTGTGGTGCCCCAGTTTTTGTAGGTTGTCATAAATCAGTTTGTTTTGTCATAGTCCAATATAAAGTGCCTTAAAAAATTTATAATAATAATTGCACTCTACGTATATTTACGAAGCTAAGTATCAAAATTTACAGCGTGTCTGTGGTGCCCCAGTTTTTGTAGGTTGTCATAAATCAGTTTGTTTTGTCATAGTCCAATATAAAGTGCCTTAAAAAATTTATAATAATAATTGCACTCTACGTATATTTACGATGAAAAGAGCATGTTTCAATGGACTATGGCGAAAACAAAAGAATTTTGGAGTACCAAGGACCAGGCGACACAGTGCCACGGGGCAACATAGACCGACCCAAACATTTATTAGGCATTGCGGAAACACTCTAACAGTAACCCAGAAGCATATAAAACAAGATTAAAGCCAGTGCAAGGTGGATAAAATATAGCAAATTTCCATCCCAACTTTGATTACCAGACCAATTCCAAACTACCTGATACTCTAGCAGATTCAGAAATGGAAAGTAAAGGTAGCTGTGACCCGATCTTTCACCTAAAATTGATAGGTCCACCTCAATGTTAGGGATCAGACAAATTGCTCCACAAATACCTTCTTGCCATGAATTATCCCGCATTCGATTCTGGCCAGTCCATCACTGACCAAAGTTGTTCTTTTTCTCACCAAAGAAATGGGTCCAAACTATAGGAACACAATTCCATGGAAACCCACCATGCCATGAGGAGGTCTTGTCCAGCTGATTCAGTAAGTTTACAATGACGTTGTAATTAGACGTACATTGGACCAGGAGGAAACTTCCAATTAACTACTATGACCTGCCATCAAGAGTGATAGATATAATAAATATGAGTTGCTCAATTATAGCTCTTAAAAGAAAATTGATGACATCAACACTGCGACAAAATGTATATTGGCAAGTGGAGATATAAGTAAATCAATAAGATAGTCATTGGCAGATGAGAAGTTTTGTCCAACAAGAGAGAAGATTTTAACGACCTTAATCGGGCAGCCAACCTCCATTTGACAGTGCGAGCGTATGCAATAGTGCTTGTGTGAGTGCATGCATGCATACAATTAAAGTGCATGTTGTCTTAGGGAATGAGACATGAGGAGAGCCAAAGCTCAAGTGTTCACTGTTTGTTTATCTCTAATTGGACACAGCATGACCACCATGATCTTATGTACTCGTATACTGCTCTAGAGTCTGCTAAACCAAGCAAAAAATCTCCAGCAGTAAAATTAAATTTCCAAACAGAACCTCAGTATATTGGAAGAATTAGTGACATTGACAATTTCCCCCTCCAAAAACGGATGATGAAAATGGAAGCTAACCTTTTCATTAAATGACAATGCCACAAAAGGCATTCTGGAATAGTAAGATGGGCAGAAATCATACATCAGATGATTTACTGATTCTCAGATGCCACACTCGCACACTTTTCTCTTACGTTTACTTTCCATAATGCACTAAAAGGCAATGCATCGGTTAACTCAGCATGACTACCAACTCAAGCAGCCAAAGAAGCTCAAACAACTCCACAACTGCAGTAGCATGGAGTATATAATAAGTAATTTGACATGAAAACTGAAGTAAAGGTACCATCTAATATTTCTTAAATCTCTGATTAAGTAAAAAGACTTGCTCATAGAATTTACCTTACCATTTGCTGAGTTATTGTGCAAAGAGCTTATTGTCCAGAATCCAAATGATTGTACAGCAACATCCACCTTAAAATGCATAGAGCCAGATCATAATGATCTGAAAAATGGTAAAGAAATCAGTTTATCATTCTTTTGCCAACCAAATTAAATAGAAAAAATTCACTTGTGTGCTTAATGAAAACTTTCAATATGAGCTGCAAATTGTCAACTGACATACAAGATCATCAGAATGCAACATAAGATTAAGTTTGTAGAAGGACTTGGTTTCTGGAGGCTGGGGTAGGACTTGGTTTCAGATGCACTCTAGACCTTGCATTTCCACCAAGGATTATGAACACAGGACACACATGTGTTTTACAGAAAAACAATGCATGAACTTCTCTAATCTAGACAGTGATTAAATTAGGTAAATCCGTCATCGGCTAAGTGATTGAACCATCATGATTTATGTACCCGTCATGAGATAAATACATGAAGGTGCATCTGTGTGGTCGTTGAAGATGGTACAGTAGCCTCACACTTATAGTAGTCAGGTAAAAAAAACGTTGCAGTCTGCAATATGATGATAGATTGTGCACAGTGATCTTCTCATTAGAGACATGTTGTGGAGCCTCAAGCGGCAACCATTTTTAATAATATCTATCAGTGGCATATCAGCAAAATTAGTTATAGCATGTCACGGTTTGACGGTTAACCTAAAAAACAACTCATGATACATATAGTAATAACATGATAGAGGAAGTTAAAAGATTGACTTACCAAATAGTCAAAAGCAGTACAACCATGTCTTTCACGAGTGGAGAAGTGCAAGAAGAGATTCCTCCTCCGGTAAGAGGGTGAGATGGCCCCTACCGATAAGTTTCTAACTTTTCCAATGATTAAGATTGCCAATTGAAATGGCAACTGATAAAGAAGGACCGGGGATAGAGTAATACCAACTTCTAGTAAGCTCCCCCATAACAAAACCATTTTGTTTTCTTGAAGATGGAGATCTCCTTATATGTAGCATGAGTCAATCAAAAACCCTCTCATTGAGCTGTCCAGAGACATTTTCCTCTTTGTGCATCAAATAGTGGACTACTTGAGCTTCATGCCACCTCCCACTTACACGTAAGTTGGAAAGCAGCAAATTAGAGCAGTGAAGGCTCGGAATGAAGTTATGGGAAAGCATTTCTTCAAATATCTTGAAGGCGAGAATATTCAATCCGCTTGAGCAAAGGTTGTTCAATAAACATGTATAAGACAACTTACTCGGAAATAAACCCCTCTTATGCATTGCATAAACAGGTGACAATGCATCCAACAGCCTTCCATAACTACAAAGGCCTCTAACTAACCTATTGTATGCAAGTCCATCCGGAAGACAACCATCAGCATTCATCTTGTTGAATAAGCCAACAGCACTATCAATTTCACCTTGACTTATGTGCCCCCCTATCAGAATTGTATAGGTCACCTGATTGGGATGTAACCCCTCTCTTTGCATAACTCAACATGGTGATAGGCATCCTCAATCATGTTTGCTCGGCAGAAACCAGATATTATGCCATTGTATAGGAACAGATTCGGCATAAATTCACTATCCTTAATTTTCTTGCACAGATTCAACACAAAGTGCTTCATTGCTTCCGGCAAATTTACAGGAACTTTAAGGTTTCTATCAATTGTTGCCAAACTCCTACTCTGCAGCAAATCGAATAGCATTTTTCTTGTTCTATAAGATGCTCTACTTGTGATGCCCCTTTATTCTTTATGCCATTGATATGCGTGCATGCACCCCGTAACACAACAATATAGGTGATAAGATCACATTTGATATGGTTTCTGCACATCAAATCATCTAGCATGAAGGCAGATTCAAAATCTCCTTCCCTTAAATAATGGCCAATAAGGGACGCATAGAGCACATTATTTGGCTCGTAACCATCTCCAATCATCTTATCAAGGTATATGCACCCCTTCTCGGTCATATTTCTCTTTACCAAACCATTTATAAGAGCAGTATATGAATATGAACTTGGCTTGATAGAATTTTCAATCATTTTATCAAACAATTCTCTAGCTTCAAGAAGTCTTCTGCTTCTGGCATAAGCATTTGTCATCGTCATGTATATAGTCTCATCAGGATCCACACCATCCTCGAGCATTCTCTTGAAAAGGTCTTTTGCCTCAAAAATTCTCTTTTTATTGCTTAAAAAACCTATAATGCAGTCATACATGGCGACACAGGGATTCAGTCCTCTCTCACTAATTTGGTCCATGACACGATAGGCTGACTGCAAATTCCCTTGCTTGCAATAACCATTTATCATTATTAAGTAAGTTTCCAAGTCTGGTACTATACCCCTGTCCTGTATTAGATGAATGAGGGATTCAGCTTCCTCAAATAGCCCTTTTTGGCATAGACACTTGATCAGTGAATTGTATGTAAAAAGCAACAGTTGGCATCCAACACTATCTGCTTTATCCACGAGGAGAATGGCAGCATCAATATCTCCTCTCTCGCATACAGCACTAACGCAAATAGTAAAAGCAATACTGGCCAGATTCAAGTCCTTTTTTGCAATTCCCTCAAGCAGATACTCAATGTTTTGCCCAAAATCCGTGCTGCCATCCCAGGTATTAGAAGCTAAGGACACAGAATGGCCAATAGCCTGCAACATCATATAAGCAAGCTGAAGTTCACACCCTCTCGGGTGCATCCTTATGACAACAAGAAAAAAAATAGGGTCAGGGAGAACCCCATTGTCCAACCTCCTTTTGCACAATTCATCTGCTTCAGTCAACTTGTTTTTCTTGTAAAGTGAAGCAATCAAAGTTGTATAAGAGTGCACACCAAGAGTTATATCGCAGACAAGCATCTCATTTAACAGCTTCAATGCACAGTCCACTTTCCCTACTCTACAATAGTTGCTTATCATGATGTGGTGAGTAACCACATTAGGGTGCATTCCACAGTCCACCATTTGTTTGTATATTGCCCAGCCTTTATCAAATATACCCCACTTCATGAACCCATTAATTAATGTATTATAGGCATAATCATCTACCTCACAACCCAATTTCAGCATCCGAAAGAAAATCCTCACTGCCATCTTCATTTTCCTATCCTTGCTATACCAAAAAATTAGCCAGTTATACATTACTTTATCGACAAAAAAGCCTTCTGCTTCCATCTCTATTGATAGTTGCTCCGCCTCCACAATCCGCCCTCCCTTACAAAGACCATAAAACAATGATTTATACTGATGGAGTGTCGGGGGAAGCTCCGTGATCTCCTGCTGCAGGCAGAATACCTTAACTGCTTCATCCATGTATCCCTTAAAACACAATGAGTCTATCAACTGATTATAACAACCAATCCTCATACTAACCCCTGCACAAATCAATCCAACAAAAAATTCAAATGCTTCCAAAGCCATTCCTCGCGCACAAAGTTCTCGAAAAATTGCATCACAAGCTTGCACATTAGGCAATGCACCCAACTCGACACACCTATCAAACTCCCTCTCTGCCTCATCGAGTTTTCCCAACTTACAGAAACAAATAATCATAAGATCCATCATATAAGAATTAGGATCCTTAAATCTACCGAAAAAGTTCTCATTATACCACACCTCAGCCAATTGGTACTCACCACACTGCACGAGTTTCCGCAAAAGCGCACTGTGGCTATTCAAGTCGAGGTCCAATCCTCGCGAAGTGAGGTAATCGACCACCAAGATCACATCGAGAGCCAATGGAGAATGAGTTATTATCCGCTGGACCACGCTCTGTGCGGATGAGAACTGCCCCCGCCGAATGAGCTGCTCCAACAAAGACAGAGTCAAGGACTTATGATCAGCCGAATTGCCAGAAGTTGCAGAAGCAGGAGCTTCCAATTGGAGGGCACATGTCGAAATCGCTCTTCTTGAGCTAAAGAATCGATGGTGAGCACTGACGCATCTCTTTAGCATAATGGGTTATTGGAAATATTGATTTTCTGAAGGAAAGCTCTCGCCTTTCAGTGCAAGAATGAAGGGAACATGTAGTAATCGCTCTTCTTGAGCTAAAGAATCGATGGTGAGCACTGACGCATCTCTATAGCATAATGGGTTGTTGCAAATATGGGTTTTCTGAAGGAAAGCTCTCACCTTTCATTGCAAGAATGGGATGGCACATGTAGTAATCGCTCTTCTTGAGCCTAAGAATCGATGGTGCGCACTGACGCATTCCTTTAGCATAATGGGTTATGGGTTATTGAAAATACGGATTTTCTGAAGGAAAGCTCTCACCTTTCAGTGCAAAATTGGCGAGACAAGCGAGGATCGCCGATGAATTTCGAAGGCGCGATTGAAAGAACGAACCTCAGAGGCTGTTCCGTGCGGAGTCGCAACCCGAGAGTGAGAGAGAGAGAGGAGGGAGACAGGGATATGATCCCTTAACGGTCAACATAGGCATAAACCCTTTTCGTTAGGGTTTTAGCAATTCAATTGGGGGCAAAAATCGACCCCCCAAAAAAAAATTGGGGGCAAAAGGGTACATGATTTTCTATTGTTTGGTTAACTTAAAAGTCGAATTTTTAGGTTACGTTTGCTAACCGGGATAAAAGTCTAGATAGAATAAAATTTATCTATTCGGTATTTGATTCCTACCCAATAGAGGATAAAATTATATATAAAAAGATACCGTCCGGATAAATATATCACATGAAAGAAGTGGGATAAAGATAGTCGGATTTCTTATATTTATGATATAAAAACTATTTTCTTTAAATAGCAAACTTCTTAAATTTAAAAAATCAAAACAATAATGAAATGTAAAATAATATGTGGATTTTAATATAAATAACTAATATTCAAAATAATAAAAAATAATGGACAATTTTCGTTTTATTTATTCATATTGTTATTTATATATTTGAATTTATTTATATTCTATAATACATATTCTATATATACATATTTAGTATCTATATTTATTATATAGTTTAATAAAAATTTTATTAAGGAATGGTGGAAGGGAATAACAAAAGAAATAAAAAAAAGAGGAAAAATAATTTTAAAAAATAAGTAAATAAAAATGAAATAAAAGAACCTTGATTTTAAATGAACAAATTCAAACTTGAGGAAACAGATCTTTCTAATTCTCTCCGTCTCCTTCTTTATATTTCTTATTCATGTTAAAACTTCATAATTCCTCCGTAACTTTTTGTTTACGTTAAAACTTTATGAAAATGGCAAGACAGTCGAAGCTCTTTTTACTTTGTATCTCTCTGATTCATGTCAAAAGTTCATAAAAGCAGCAAAAGAATCTAAATTTCTTCTTTTTCTGTAACTCTGTAATTCATGTTGAAGTTTCATGAAAGTGGGAAAAGAGTTAAAGCACTATACTTTTCGGAATTGCAAATCATGTTTCTCTCTTTTACTAAATTTGGCGTTCGTTGGCTAATCTACCTCGTCGATGTTGTTGTAACCTGTTTCTTGTCATAATCGAACCTGTTACTCTGGAACGTTGTAATGTGCCACTTTTTGTTTAAGATGTAGATCGTAAAATAGTTAAGAATTAATTGATGGAGGTTATTTCATTTGTGCATTTGTGATTTCTTTAGAAATAAATCATGAGAAATTCTTACCACTTTTCGTTGTGCATTTTTAGGTTCCTTTACATCCATATACGTTCATATCAAATAATGGATATGATAGAATATAAAAATATCTTGCCATTTACCAAACAATGATAAAATATAGCAAAATTCATGGATTTTATATCTTATCATATTCAGTCATATCCTTACTAAAAATTCAACTGAGTACAAAAGGGTGGCGGAAGTTAGAGATATCATTGTTGTATATGATTAGGTTTATATCGAGCTGAGGTTTTAAATGTTTTAAACGTATGGTGGTCCTTTCGGTATTAAATGTTATACTGGATACTAATGTGTACTTATCAAACCTTGTCGGTGATTGCAGGTCTAGGAAGGCAAGTTCCAGCATAGCTACAGGGAAGGAAACTGGGGCGAGGATGCTTTGGCCTGGTGAGAGCAACACCAATCACTCAGGAGTCAGGACCAACACCTGTGCGCGCCCACTTTCGTCCAGGATACTCCTAAATGATGTTTCCTTTGCTTGGAGTAGTACCAGTACTATGTGTATTCGCAGCAACTCTTCTGCGGTCCCTGTTTGTGTCCCTCATTTATCTCATAGTCCCAGGCAAATTGCCCTTTCAGCTACTACTGTTTTTGTTCCAACATTTGTAATGTCACTCGCGGATGACAATGACATGCTGCTGGACAATGGTTAATTATTTATACTATTTTCGTGGTTTACCAAAAGAAAACGAAAAAAGTGTTTTAAACGTATCTCAACGCATCTGAATGTATCCAAGGTCATCTTGTTGACACGAAAAACATGTTAACCTACATAATTAAACATGTCCAAGCATGTAATTAACGAGTTAAAAGGATTAACTCGTGTATACATGTTTGTTAGTCATTTATAAATGGTACATAAACTTGCTTAGACTTTATAGAAATACGCCTTACTATATGCTTCATGTGTCTATTTTTGTAAATAGGTAATTGTTGGCCTTAATTTTGCAGAAGCATAAACTGATCAGATATGCTTATATATGTTACCCATGTTTAATCCGATATGAGCGACTGAACAACATCACATTGATATATGCACAATGACAACTAGGCGCCACATAGGACAAAGTGTACAAAGTGCACCATGTGGAAGCCATTCTTGAGTCTCTGGGAATCGCATCTAGAATTCCACTGATATATCCAATCTATGTATACCTATGCGATTTTAGCTATCTGGTATACATCATTGGATAACATATGTGTGGGCAACTATATATTTTTAGCATATCTGAACCTTAGTTGAGGTGGTGGATAACTTACGAAGCGTGTGATTTGCTTATTTAGTATAGTGACCGATTCACTCACAATGTTTTCTAATTGATTGATTTGAGGAGACCAGGAGAGATTGAATTCCTGGGATAAAAGCGCACGATGAAAATAAAGTGAATTTCGGGACGTTATGGTATAAGAGCTAAATGAATTTTGGAATGTTAAAAGAAAACAAGAGCACGTTTATTGAGCAAACTTGACTGCTATAAATAACCCAAGGACAGGACAAAGTAAATTAATACAATTGAAAAATTGAATTTTCAGAGATACATGACCCAACACAAGCTTACGAACAAACTAATGGACGTCGCAATCGCAAACGATTAAATATCAGAACTCTTTGTCCATATATTCTCTAGAACTTCGATTGAATTTGGCTGACAATACTCTTATCAACTTGGAATGCTTTAGCAAGAATGTCCATGGCAATGTCCGGAGTTGACCCAAACACTGCATTAGCGACAGTGATGACACCTGGGTTTTGGCTACCGAGAGCCGCAATAGCGACAGCATTTACGGTACCGGTATTTCTCTGGAAATGGACAAGACCTTGAGGGAAGACGAACACATCACCCTTTTGCAAGACCTTGGAGATGAGGCGATTATCGGGGTTGGAGGTGATGAACCCTATTTCGAGGGTCCCTTCCAAGACAACCAAAATCTCAGTGGCACGCGGGTGAGTGTGGGGCGGGTTGATTCCCCACGGTGCGTAATCAATTCGGGCCAGGGAGATGCCGAGAGTGTTGAGCCCCGGGAGCTGAGCCACAAACACCGGGGTAACCCTTGAGCCAACCGCGTTCGATATGTTGCCCGGAAGATGAAGTCCACCGAAGGAGAAGTCATTTGCCTGAACCGTTTTGGGGTCCTTGCAGGCCAGGCCATTCACAAGCACTGCAAAATTTGAATGAGAAAACAACTAATTAATATGACTAAAGCAGTATATGATAATGTGCTTCACTATTCTACAAACAAAACACACCCTAATTAACATACACCTTTCTCCAAATAGCTAGTCAATATTATTTCCCTTGCATTTGTTGAAAAATAAAATCCTTGTTCACTCGTACTTTTAGGGGAAGAAGAGATGCTACCTAGGACAAGATTCTGGTTGAATCTCTTGTGCATGCATAACTCAATTGCCCAAACACATAATGACACCAATTTCTAATTCATTAGTACTTCCCCATCAGCTCTAGATTAAAGATCCATAGATAACTCCTGAAATACCCCCGTGATAATAATTAGCAACTCTCAAGGAAATAAAACGCGAAACCCTAAATTCTAAACCTTCAAATTAACTTTTTTAGAGAGGTCTAGACTGTCAATTGCGTAACGAAATGAGGTAACTCTCCTAAGAAATTAAGCTCCACTAGAGCTAAACTTTTATTGTTGTTATTATTATTTTTGGATAAGTAAAGTTAAACATTACAAAATTCCGGAGGTTAAGGTAAGCACATTTGCAAAGCAGGGCAAGCACCGTGGGATAAGCAAGTCTACTTTATTAGAGTAGACACTTAAATGGGACACCAAAAGCAAGCAAGTCTGCTTTATCAGAATAGATACTTGAATGGGACACCAAAAGCTAAGATACCAAACATTCTTAGTCTAAGCTCTTTTGCTATAGCCTCTAAACACGTTTTGTGCAACATGACGAGTTGCAGTATTATACCTGCACTGCCAGCTTGAGCGACACAGAAATCTTGCAGAGGACTATGATCAGCAGCTCCGAAAGTGAACAAAACACCAAAGAAGCAAATCAATAGGACACTCTTCGCCATCTCCGAAATCAAAATCTTCACGAGATGATCTTGCTTAACTTTTCAAGTGCAAGTGGATATTAGCGCTTGCTGGGGGTGGATGATGAAATGCCCTGAGCAGAGCCCGAGTATTTATATACGAGCTAGGCAGAAGCAAACGAAGAGATGATAATAAAATTGAGTAAAATAACGTATATTCACATGAAATTAGCAGGCCCGTCACTTTGCGAACGAGTCATATAGAACTTAGCCGTCAAAGGAACCTATATTGCCGCCGAACAGAACATGGACATCCTGTCCCGCAATAATGATGCGATTGGGAGATTGGAGGGATAGGCATTAGCGACGGCATCTTTCACGAGTAAGAACCAATCAGAGACGACATCTCTTGACCAAGTTTTATTAATTTAATAACTTGTTGCCGAAAATGTGGGGGATGTGTTTATTCCCTTTAGATTTTTCTTTGGTCAAATATTCTCTTTAGATAAGTCCATTCGGTTTTTGTTCTATTTCGTGTTCAAAAGCTCAGACATAATTTATTTGGGACTTTAATATAACTTAAGCTTTTAGATGAGTTGAGTATAATGTTTCATGCAATTTATTACTGCGTGAAGGGATGAGATGGGGGAGGCTTGTCTGAAATGAACCGGTCTTGTGGAATGAATTAGTCTTTCAAATGATCTAACGAGTAGATTTGACTGCATGATACGAAATCAAGCCAAATGTGGAGGAAAATTGTCCAAAAAGTCTTAAATCTATTGCACTTTTGCCAGTTCAATCCCAAATCTTTCAGTTTTACCAATTAAATCCTAAACATTTTCATGTTTTGTCAATTTAGTCAATCCAGCTAGTTTAAATTGCTAATATGGATGTCGGCCATCCTATGTGCCACGATCAGTGCTGACGTGGATAATTTTTAATAATATTTAGTATTTTTTTCGAATTTTGAGTTTATTTTTTCTTCTTCCTTTTTATTTTTTCCTTTATTTATTTTCTTTTTTCTTTTTTTCTTTTCTTTTCTTTCCTTCTTTTTTTTTTTTCCAAACTCTCGCCCACACTAGGCGAGGGCATCCGCACCCTCGCCGCCCCTTGCCTGGATCTAAGTAAGGGCCTAACACCCTCGCCCACCGCCAGCGAGGGTCTCTGGCCCTCATCTATGGCCGGTGATGGTCAGCCGGCAAGGTCGTCAGCTAGGGTTTGAAAAAAAAATACAAGTTATCCTCTTATAGTTTCACATCATATGAATTTTTGATCTTTATTTGAGTGATTTACCGATTTGTTTTTAATTACCAAATGATTCTAGAAAACCAACTCTCATTTAGCTATTTACCAACATTTATATGATTTTTTTAATATTTAAAAGTTGTCATTGTTTTTTAAACTTTTATTTGTCTCTCTTACAAACGCCTTAAGTTTACCAACTCTTATATGAATTTACTAACCTTATGTGTCTAACTTACAAGTTTTTCTTTCATTATGTTACAAACTAATTTTGGTTTACCAAGTCTCATTTCGGTTACTCACCAATATTGTTTTTTTTTATTTGCCCTACTGTACAACCCGTTTTATGGGCAACTCTTTTCATATATTACCAACCTTAATTGCAGTGATTACTAACTTTTGTCCAATTAAGTTACTAGTAAGTTTTGTGCTACTAGCTCCTATTTGAGTTAGGTACCAACATTCATTTAGTTTATTCTATATTATAAAAAGATTTTTCTTATCATTTACAAAATTTTATTTACACTTCTCATCAATGCCTTAGATTTACCAACTATTGTATGAAATTTCCAAGCTTTATTTGAGTATTTGAGTGATTTATCACTTTTTCCATTTCATTTACCAACTAATTGTGGATGCCAACTCTCATTTTAATTCCTTATTACCAATGCTTATTTGCTTTTTTTAATTTGCCAAATTCTCTATTGAGGCACAACTTTTATTTTTCTTACTTTCTGACCTTTTAAATTCATCAACTCTTTTTACAAATTAGCAATCTGGATTAGAATTCTTATTAACTTTTCTTCGATTTAGTTTTACTAACTTCTATTTGAATTATTTACCAATATTTATTTGGGTTTTTACAATACCAACCTTAACATCTCTGATAAAAAAGCTTCTCTTACAAGTTATCAACTTTTATTTCTCTTTTTTAATGACGGGTGAAATTTGCCAATGAAATTATCATCCTTAATAATTGTGTGACTTACAAACTTTTATCCATTAAATAACCAATTAGTTTTGGGTTATCAACTCTCATTTGAGTTGCTTGCCAATATTTATTGATTTTTTTCTTAACCTTTTAACTTTTCTAGTAAGTTAATACTTTTATTTACCTTTTTTACCAACTTTTTAAATTTACCAACTCTTTTTACAACTTACGAACCTCAACTAGTGCAATTTCCAAAATTTTCACTGATCAACTTCCGTTAGTTTTTCATTACCAACTTTTATTTGAGATAATTACTGGCATCTATTTGGTTTGTTAATAAATTACCAACTTCTCTTATCTCTAAGGGAAAAAGTTCTCTTATCTTTTACCAATTTTTTTTCTCTTATCTTAAACAATGCCTTAAATTTACCGATTATTGCACGAAATTACCAATGTTTGTTCAGTGACTTACTAAATTTTCTCTAATTAAGCTAGCAACTAGTTTTATGTTAGCAAGCCTTATTTGAGTTGCTTATCAACATTAATTTGATTTCCAATTTACCAAATTTCTTATTGAATTTTCAATTTGAGTTGTTTTATTTATCAACTCTTTTCTCCAATTAAATTACTAGCTAATTTTGTATTATTAACTCTTATTTGAGTCAGTTACATACCAATGTTTGCCTATTTTAAATTACGAACTTCTTTCATCTTTTGCAAAAAAAAAAACTTTTCTTTTTATATACCAACTTTTATTTAACTTTCTTACCAACACCTTAAATTACTAATTATTATGGGTTATTACCAATTTTAATTTAATTCATTTATCTACTTTTCTCCAATTAAGTTATCAAACTAGTTCTAGATTACTAACTCTCATTTGAGTTTATTACGAACAATTATTTGGTGTTTTTTAGTTTACCAAATTTTCATTTTGGGTTACTTAATTGATAATAAAGTTGGTTCATCACCAAATAAAGGTTGGTAATTTGAAATAAAAGTTGGTAAATTTAGGTCATAATTAAAAAAAGATAAATAATAGTTGGTAATAGATAAGAAAAGCTGATAATAGATAGGAAGAAGTCACCGGTCATATTTTTACGAACAATTTTTCTACACTTATCAATACCTATTGAAATTTACTAGCATGGAAAAATTCCGTATGTTTGAGCTCGAATGAATACAATTCTATAATGAAATCAAGCTCCATCTATTATTGTTGTTGTACTTCTGCTATTGTCGTTGCATTGCTGAGCTTGCTCATTCTTTTCAGAGTTTTGTTTTTTTTCCCTTCTGATAAGCCACGATATGAACAAGTGTGTTCATTCCTTGGCCACTCGGCTCACCCAGGTGGTTAAACAATTGCTTCCTGTACCTCTCAAACGCCTTTAGTGGCAAAAACTCTTTCAGAACCAAATGAGGGGGATTGGATTTTCGGACAACCCCTGAAACTTTTCGAGGTAGTGTACCGTGAGGTGCATGTGTGCTTTTACCTGAACTGTCGGCTTGAGCGACGCAGATATCCTGCAGAGGCCCATGATCAGCTCCTGCAACAGCAAGAAGTAGACCCAAGAAACCAAACAAGAGTAAACTCTTTGCCATCTTTGCACAATAGTCAAAATCTCCACCAAAATGAGCTGGGTATAACCTTAAAGCTTTGCTTTCTTTTAGGGTAATGAATGTGGTTAGTGTTTGTTGGTGTGGAAGAAATGCTTGGGCAGATAGCGAGTATTTATAAACTTGGGCAACGGCATGAAAGTAACGAAGTCTCAGAAAAAGTTCTTTCATAAGCAAATAATTTATACATGAGCAATGTGGCAAGTACTAAGACAATATACTTGCAAGCAGGCGGTTCCTGTCTATTGAAAGAGTCATAATGAATGGGCCATCCACGAGGGGTCTTTCAAGTTGTGATTACGAATCTATATGTCGCCCTAAAGAGAAAGATTCATAAAGAAAACACAGAAGAAAGAAGAATCTATATATCGCCAAATACAAAGGAACGCCTTCTCTCCAGTAGCGACGGGGGTGTGCGGATAAAGATCGAAGACAATTGGACGCGTGAGAATTAGTATATAGGTTTTAAGTATTGACTAAGTACAGGTTTGCTGCCAAAATGAGTACAAAAAAATGAGTTTATTCTCTTTTTGCACATTTTAAATAGGGTTAATATTACGAAAAACTCCAAATTGATACACTTATGACAAATTTACCCCAAACTAATTTTTTTGACCAAGAAAAACCCAATATCGGTACAACTATGACAATTTTACCCTCTGTTAGTTTCCGTTAAATTTTACCTTCAAATTACTGAATTAGATGACACGTGGCAATTAACAGGTGTACTGGTTTGGGGTTTTACCTTCCGTTTGTCACATGTGTACCATTTTGTGATTTTCTGTGATATTAATCCAATTTAACGGAGGGTAAATTTGTCATAAATGTACCAGTTTGAAGTTTTTTGTGGTCAAAAAATTAGTTTAGGGTAAATCTATCACAAGTGTACCAGTTTGGGGTTTTCGATGGTCAAAAAATTAGTTTTGGGTAAATTTGTCACAGGTATACCAGTTTGGGTTTTTTTTTTTTATGGTATTGACCATTTTAAATATTGAAGTTGGTTTCTTTATAATCCCATGAGAGACAAATCTTTGGTCCTATCCATTGTAACTCAAGTCCATTTTATTGTAACTCCTATTGACCCTTTAAGACAATGTGACCCTTTTACTACTGGGATGTCACACTCTTTGGTACTTTATCTCCTACTTTAAACATGGCACATTCATATTTCAAGAAAAGTACGTCAAAGAGCTGGTCAAGAAATTTAATATAGAGAATTGCAAGAAAACTGAAACTCGTATGTCCTGACTTTGATCTTCGCAGGTGGACTTTATTTAGACTAGTTTACAAGCAGTTTGTGTAATTCAAACGGATGACCTCTAGTTGTTACTCTCCATAATAGTTTTTCTTTTTGCCTGATTTTTAGTTTGATATTGTTCCTAACTAACAACCCAAAATAGCATGGCCTCAATTGGACGCAATGCAAAAATATTTGCCAATATCGCGCGATGTCGCCCCGCTAATTTCAAAGTATCTGAGACAATTTTGGTTGAGGGTGTCAGGCTTGGCATAAATTTTTAATTTCTTTTGATTTAGTAGTCACCTCCTATCTAAATCAGCTTTCCCATACTTCAATTAAACCATGTAATTCTAGAGACGCAATCCGTCACATTGGTCTAGTGCATTTATAATTGGGTTAATACCATGAAAAACTCTAAACTGGTATACTCGTGACAAATTTACCCAAAACTAATTTTTTGATCACAAAAAATCCTAAACTGGTACACTTGTAACAAATTTACCCTCCGTTAAATTGGATTAATACCACAAAAAATCATAAATTGGTACACCCGTAACAAACGGAGAGTAAAACATAATTGGTACATCCGTCAATTGCCGCGTGTCATTTAGCAAAGCAATTTGACAGTAAAAATTAACGGAAACTAACGAATGATAACATTGTTACAGGTGTACCAGTTTAGGGTTTTTGATAGTAAAAAAATTAGTTTGGGGTAAATTTGTTACAGTTGTACCAGTTTAGGGTTTTTCATGGGGTTAACCCTTTATAATTTTAAGTTAGAGTGTTCCCAACAATACTTGTACCGGAGACCTCAAGAGATTAACTCCATTAATCTAATTCAACACCTTGCTGATAAGTTTATAGGAACGACCCAATGCATAATACTTTTTGTATCTTTTGCTTCAACCATAAATATAACGAGTTCATCAAGATGCCCTTGGGGTTAATTTTAAAAAAAAGCACGAACTTTAGGTCTAGTGACAATTCGGGCCCGAACTTTTTTTAGTCTCATAAAAAAACATAAACTTTAGGTCGAGTAACAATTATGGCCCTAACTTTTTTTTTTGTCTCATAAAAAATCACAAACTTTCACACTAATCCCAAATCTGGCCCTCCGTTGATTTTCTGTCTGAAGTCACCCTTGTTTGAGAAAAAATGTTATGGTGGTGAGCTTGACGGATCTCGTCCATGGCGTCTGTCAACGGGCGATGGTCTATAGTTTCAGATTACAACAAAACGACGAAATCTGGCAAGAGAGATTCAATCTGGAGAAATTTTTGACTAGTCGATGAAGTGAAGGAGACGAACAATTTCACAATTATTTTTCAAGCTGTGACTCAGAGAATAAGATAATGAATAATGCTTTAAATCCATTCAGCAATCGACGTGAATTTATTGCTAAGGTAGAATAGTCAAGTTGGATAATCAATTGTTCTAAGTCAATGGGGGCCAAATTTGGAATTAGACATAAAGTTTGTACTTTTTTATGAGACAAAAAAAAGTTGGGGCTAGAATTGTTACTCGACCTAAAGTTGGTGCTTTTTTATGAGACAAAAAAAAGTTCGGGCCAGAATTGTTACTCGACCTAAAGTTGGTGCTTTTTTTTGGAATTAGGGCGATGCCCTTGTTATATGAACTACATTCAACACCTTGCTTTTCAACTTTTTCAAAAAACAAAATCCCATCTTTGTTTGGTATGTGCTTATTCTCATGTCGTTTCACGTTCTACAACTAATGCATAACAGTCATCAACAGACAACAAGCGAGACACGGGCCAGTTTTGATTAACTATAGACTTGGCAAATTCTATTTGTCTGTTGCCTCCGAAATTATAATGGACAGCAGGTTAATAACCAAAAAAAGAATAGTCAGAAGAAGTCGCTGACAAAGTGATTCTATCATCTCAATTGAAGTCGATAGCGTATTTGACCGTAAAGATTTAAGTGCTTTACCCTTTTTTCGCTAATTTCATTAGTCACCAAAATCCACTTTCCTTAATCACACTCCCAGGAAGATCTCATTTCACACCCTCAGAAGATTAAATACAACAGAAAGTTGAATTTCCAAAGATACATAGCCAAAAACAAATTCAAACAGACACACTCTTTTATCTCGTACAAATAGTGATCGCCCAAACTCTCTATGGATTTCTGTCTAGAAGTTTGACTGAAATTGAGCAACAACACTTTTATCAACTTGGAATGCTTTGGCAAGAATGTCCATGGAAACATCAGGAGTCGACCCAAACACAGCATTGGCGACAGTAATGACACCGGGGTTTTGGCTACCGAGAGCTGCAATAGCGATGGCATTTCCGGTACCAGTATTCCTTTGGAAATGAATGAGGCCTTGAGGAAAGACGAACACGTCGCCCTTTTGCAAAACCTTGGAGATAAGGCGGTTGTCTGGGTTGGAAGTGATGAACCCTACTTCCAGGGTTCCTTCTAGGACAACCAAAATCTCGGTGGCACGTGGGTGAGTGTGGGGCGGGTTGATCCCCCATGGTGCATAGTCGACGCGGGCCAAGGAGATTCCAAGAGTGTTGAGCCCTGGGAGCTGAGTCACAAACACCGGCGTTACCCTCGAGCCGACCTTGTTCGATGTGTTTCCGGGAAGATGGAGCCCACTGAAGGAAAAGTCATCCGCCTGAACAGTTTTGGGGTCCTTGCAAGCAAAGCCATTGACTAGCACTGCCATGTGAGGAACAAAAGATGAATGAGAAAGACAGCCTATGGAATGTACTAGTAAGCATTATGAAGTAGGACAACAGTCTGTCTAAGCAACAAAAAGGCTGAACTGCCCGATTGAGGTGGTGCAACGTAAGGTCATTGTTTTTACCTGAACTGCCCGATTGAGCAACACAGAAATCCTGGAGAGGGCTATGATCAGCTGCTGCTGCAAAAGCAGAGAACAGGCCCAAGAAGCAAATCAAAAGAGTACTTTTCGCCATATCTACAATAAAAGCGAAAATGAAGCGGTTTAACCTCAATGAAGATGTATAATGTTCTGTAGTGGTGGATGAAATGCTGTGAGTAGATAGCTAATATATATATAGGCGCATTGGCATAAGCAACGAAGATTCAGATCAAATTGACAGGTACGGACATATTAGAAACCAGTATAAGTTGGCCGACTCTTTCTGTGAAGGAATCATCTTGACTGGCCGTCCCTAAGAGGTCTCTGGAGTTGTCTATTTGTCCTGAGAGGTCTTTGAACAAGTAGTCGCTTGTTGCCAAAATGAATAGGAATGGGTCTACCCATTTTAGGTTTTCCGTTCCGCGTTGTCCCATTAGGCATTAGAAACATAGAATGACCAATGCTAGGTTACAATAAGGTCGATCTGCTAAATAATTTATTAAGTGATGTGGCAGAATTTGGATATTGAATGTATGACCCATCATTCCAACTCCAGTTACAGTCTGTCTCATCACTTTATAAACTAATTAACGGGTTTTTTTTATACCAAGGAGATAATTGTCCAATTAATCCTAATCAATAGTTTGGATACCAATTTTGTCCTAATTTTTTTAATTTTGCCAATGTAATCTTAAATTTTTGTGCAAAATTCCAATCTAGTCATTCTGGCCAATTGCTGCTAGAATTTGCTAACGTGGTGTCCAGTCATGCTAATGTGACAACTTGCGGATTACCACTTCAACGATTTTTGGCAACAAGTGGTCGAAAGGACTTCATTGCGATTTTGGCGCAAGTTTTAAGACTATATTCATAAAATTAGAAAGTTTAGGATTGAATTAGTATTTGTACAGTAGGTTTAGAACTGAACTAGTAATTTTCCCTAATATCAAGCATTATCTTTTGCAGTGTTATGATAAAAGAGAATGTGATTATTTATCACATTTTGTACAATGTGGCAGTTCTTTATTTCGATCAGTCAATCATTAATTGAGATTTCACTATTTAAATGCTAAATCGTAATCTCTGAGTTCTCTCTCTCTCTCTCTCTCTCTCTCTCTCTCTCTCTCTCTCTCTCTCTCTCTCTACCAAATAGATTTGGTCGCAGGAAAGGGTTTAAGGCTTTAAGCTTGAATTAATAGACAAATTTATCTTTTCATAAATCGTCAGATGATATAGTATATTTTAAAAAATTAAAATAGTGAATCTAAAAAAATCAACTTAATTTAAAATATTATGCCCTGTACATTGATATAATATCAATAGTTCGAAACTATTTTGTCATTTGAACGAATTTGGCTTAGAAAGAGATGAATAGGAGTCATTAAAAAAATATTACACTTAGGATTTCACATATAGCCTATTTATTTACATCCATATCACTAAATTAAAAATACATTTAGTTTAAATGTTACCATTTTATTATTTTAACATAGATTAATTTTTTTTTACATTTTAAGTTTGAAAAAGTGAAATATATAAATCACACTCTAAATGTATTTTACTAATATTACTGCTAATTAAAGTGTAAATAATTTTTTCTGAATTTATAGTGCAATAAAAAGATTACCATGAAAAAATAATTCACTTAGTTTGAGAAATAAAATAATTTATATAAATTACTTATATCACGATTATTAAAAATTTTATTTTAATTATAAGGAGAAGAATAAATATGTCCCGTTCCTTCAATATAATGAAAAATGTTGATATTTATCTAAAACTTGAAATAACAACTTTAAATCTAAAAAATACTAAGTTGCAATTTAGATAAATCATATCGTTTATATATTACTTATATTCATTTTTTTCCTTTTTGAAAAAATTGATTTATAGCGTTTTTTTCTACCACATATTAATCTTATGCCTTCATAGAGTATGATATTCTTCTACAAAATCATAAAATATGACTGATACATTCTCTCACATCACATCTCATATTACCGGATTCACGATTCAAAAATAGAAGCATGTCTATGAAATGTGCAGGCTAAATAACTATTTAATGCAATGGCTCCTCCATTTTCTAGTACAGTGAGATCTCTCATTTCAGACTTTGCTCTTTTAATTTCAAAAGAATTTACGGTCGAGTATGATTCATTCCAAGCAAACGGATGGAAGAGGGCGATAGCATTAGGCTCAGTAGGATTCTAATGATACACTGATTTGAAATTGACATGCTAAGTACGTCACCACACATCCACCTCTCTCTCTCTCTCTCTCTCTCTCTCTCTCTCTCTCATGCACAAAACATATTAGGCGTATCAAGTGCTTGTGACCCGTGCATCTTAACCCTTAAACCATATGGGTCGCACGTGAAGACACAACATTTTTAAACAATTAGATATATTGGGCTTACATGCAAGAGATTTTCTAAGAAATTTTACACATTCCGGCATGCGCACAACTATATATTTAATTTCCACCATGAAGTTACTATTGGAATTGACTGACATTGGTTATGAAATACCACTTTTCTTAACTTAATTTTCTTAAGCACCCTTTAGAAACATAATCTAATGTCGCTCCATCAAAGGATTTATGCAGGCTGAATTTCAACATAACATTTAGCTTTACCTTACGTACATTACTCCGAAAACTCTGCTGTTTGACAAAATTACTTCGATACATCTCGTGTTTCGAATGCTAATCTCACAATATGCATGCGACGGGACAAAAAGTTCCTTATTGGAAAAGTAACGGATATGTCTTTTTTTTTTGATGACCCAGGAACCCCCCGCACGGCCGACAGCCGGGGGGGTAAACCTGGGGTGACGCTAGCGCAGGACTCACCACCACGACACCACACTTAAGAATCCCTAACGACTACGCTGGGGTTCGAACTCTGATCCCTTCGTGGGGGGATGAGAGCACAAGCCAACGCAGCCGCTGCGGGCGGTGGTAATAACGGATATGTTTGTGTGGCATAGTTACATATTTTTTCTAGCTAAATTGCTTATAATTGCTGATGCCATGTGGCTGTAATATAACCAATCGCGAAGAGGATCACATGGTAAGCCCAAAACCCTTGATCTCCATGTCGCCTTACCCTACCATCCTAAGAGGATCATCAATATTGTTCTCTAACTGCTCTCTTATGAGCACTCATTTCCTTATCTGTCTTTAAGAGGGTCCTCCTCGACTGCAGATCGACCGTCCACTGTGGCTTCACCAGTTCCTCTCCCTCCTCACCTGATCATCCCACCTACCGACCCCGAGCCATCTATATCTCATCCATTACCATCACCTTTGCCGACTGTCAGTCTAGACTCAAGTCCACCTCTATTAGCAAGCCCAGTCTCGGGACATGTTGTGGCTGCAACTGATCCAAATGATGTGTCTATAGCTTCAGTTGTCGTGCCCAGTACTACGAACCACTCTGCTTTCATTAGTGGCGTGTCTTCACGCACTCATTCCATGGTCACACGTTCCCTGGACGACTCCCTTCCACAGAAGCGATTTATTGTAAATTACCCATTGCCTTAATGCTTAAGCCACATTTCAGGAAACCTAACTCTTTCCCATAGCATAGAAAGATCCAAAACGGCATCATGCTATGCAAGATGATGAGTATCTGGCTATCATTGACAAGCATACATGGGATTTTGTTCTTCCTCCGCCTTCTCAACACATAATCAGATGCAAATGGGTTTACAAAGTCAAGCAAAAGGCTAATGGCTCTATCAACCACTAAAAAGCTTGCCTCATTGCCAAAGGATATTACCAGCAACCAGGTATCGAAAACATTCAGTCCAGTTATTAATCTTGTTCCTATTCAAGCTATTCTCAGTCTTGCTACAGCTTATTATTGCCCGATTCGACCACTTGATGTTAAGAATGCTTTTTTGCATGCATATCTTGATGAAGAAGTCTCCATGCAGCTACCTCCTGGATTTATTGATTCTACTAGAGCCCAGTACGTCTACATCTACGTCATTCTCTGTATAGTCTCAAGCAAGCTCCCCGTGCGTGGTTCCTTCATATAAGCATTTTTTTTTCCAACGACTTATATTTAATGGGGAAAATTACTAAAAAAGTCCTCAACCTTTTGCAGTTGTGCCAATTCAGTTCTAAACCTTTTTTTTTTTACCAATTCAATCCTAAACCTTTTGCAAACTGGCCAATTCAGTCCTTTTGGCCGGCCGGCGCTGACGTGGCCGCCGGCCGGCGTCCACGTGGCAATATTTAAATAATTTTTTTATTATTTTCGAATTTTTTTCCTTTTTTTTTTTCTTTTCCTTCTCCCCCCGGCCTGTCCGGCCAGGGGGGAGGCTCGCCGGCAAGGGCCCAGCTCCGGCAAGGCGAGCTGGGCCCTCGCCGGAGCTGGGCGAGCTCGCCATGGCTCGGCGAGCTCCGCCTTCGCCCGGATCGGCGAGCCTCGCCCAGCCATGGCGAGCTCCGCCTCGCCGGAGCCGGGCGAGCTCCGCCTCGCCGGAGCCGGGCGAGCGGAGCTCGCCCGGCCAAGGCGAGCTCCGCCTCGCCCGGATCCGGGCGAGGTGGAGCTCGCCCGGCTCGGCGAGGGCCCGGCTCGCCTCGACGGAAGGCCCGGGCCCTCGCCGGCGAGCCTCCCCCTGGCCGGACAGGCCAGGGGGAGAAGGAAAAGAAAAAAAAAAGAAAAAAGGAAAAAAATTCGAAAATAATAAAAAAATATTAAAATATTGCCACGTGGCCGGCGGCCCGTCAGCCGTCCGGTGGCCACGTCAGTGCCGGCCGGCCAAAATGACTGAATTGGCTGGTTTGCAAAAGGTTTAGGATTAAATTGGCACAACTACAAAAGGTTGATGACTTTTTTGGTAATTTTCCCATATTTAATGGCTCTAGTGCTTACCCTTCACTTTATTCTCTATGGGTCTGTCTATTCTAGGTTTATGCTAGTATATGTGTACGAGATTATTCTAGCGGACACTTCTCATGCCCCTTTGCAGTCTTTACTTGCTGATCTTAATCGTGGCTTGCTATGGAGAACTTGGGATCGCTTCATTTGTTTCTCGGAATTGGAGCCCAGTTTGATGCGGATGGATTTTATCTTCCTTAGGC